CACTGAAGCAATCTTTTATCGACTTGTCATCTATCATTCTCGCAATCTACAGTTTTGCCTTGTAATACATTTTATAATATCTTTCACTTCAGTTCATTTACGAACGTTCCTGTTTCTTAGTCTATCTCCCAAGCTTATTCCAAAAGTTTGTTCTCTTTATTTTACGTTGTGTCCTTCTTAATTTTTCTTCTGATGTTTTTCAGATAGTGAAGATTTCTGTAATATATGAGAACTGGTGAAAAACTTGCTTTTTTTAAGTAGGAACATTTGGTTTAAACACGTCTTTCATTTTTCCTAAAGCAGCCCAAAATAAGCTTACTCTTCCGAGTAAGTTAGATATCTGGTTTTCTCGCATTACTCGTCGCTTATTTCGTTGACCAAATTCACACACCTTTCCGTAACTTCTATTGTCGATTTCTTGATTTTTATTGGCTTATTACCACAACTGAAAAGTTCACTGAACACTACGACCACGTGTCTCTATCTCGCGACCGGCGGCCGCCGATCGACTAACTGTGGGTCTGGTGCACGTGCATGCAAATATTTTAAATAAAATTCTTAAAACCTGCTTTACTGAAAAAGTTTAAGCTATGCTCTTTTAAGTTACTACATTTAACAGTTAGTATTTACTTTTCTTGTTCTGTGTTTTAGAGAATCGACTATCGTTTTGGATGAGCATTTTGTAGGCATTTAAAATTAGTAACATACTAAAATATTTGCTTAAAAAGATGTCACACGTGCCTAAATTGATCGGCAATAAGAAAAAAGTACTGTAAAAATTTATGTGATTTAAATCTTCCCGAAACAAATGCCATGAGCAAGGTAGACGAGAATAGTGATAATGTTAAACAATATATACCTACTTATTGGAATGTCTGCCTATCTATTTATAAATTTTAAATAGACTACCTATGGGTAATATTTTACATTTTGACAAAATGTGTCATGATACTGTGGCTCATATTGCATCCGAAATAAAAAATTCTATATGCAAAAACATTATTGAAAATAATAAAAACTTACAGCCTTGATAGCCGACTCGACAACATTGAGTAAAAGAACTACTTTGGTTGTAGTAATAACGACATATTTCAGGGATTCCTCATCAAATTTTATAGACACTTCTGTTTGTAATTTAGACATAATGGAGCTGACTGATACGACAGCCGTAAATATTACAAGGGACCTTTTGATATACTTAAATATATACGGCTTTGATCAAACTTTTCTGGAAGAGTGGCTTATAGCCTTTGCCTGTAATGGAGCTTCGAATATGAGTGAAAAAAACTCAGGAGTCATAACAAGATTGCAAACAATATTTCCAAATTTATTCATGTGGCACTGCTATATCATATTTTAGAGTTTGCTGTTTGTGTACTGCGTTAATGAAGTCAGTGATATTAATTATTTTATAATCTTTATATATAGCTAGATAGATAAATATATATATATATATATATATATATATATATATATATATATATATATATATATATATATATAGATAAATTCTATAGCTTTAATCACCAATCGCCTAAAAACCAAAATGACCTAAAAATGGAGCAGTATCGATTAACAAGCAAATTTCAAGAATTGGACCTATTTTGTCTGTTCGATGGGTGGCATCAAGCAAACGTACACTTAATGCTGTATAACATAACTACGAAGTAATCTGTTAAGATTTTGAGATGGCTTCTACGGATTTGACTAGAGATACAAAAGAAATTTTTAAGTACAGTAGTTTACTAAACATTCTCACTAAGATTAATTTTTTAAAAAATATACATGCTATGTCGAACGCTCTTAACAAAATGGGAGTTTTGTCGAAATCATTTCAGCGACGTAGCATTAGTCCCATAGAATAAAGCTCTATAAATTACAATTAGAGTTTTAGACTCAATGGCTACTCAAATAGGTTTTAAATTTAAGAAGATTTCACACTCTATCTCAGAAAATACTTAAAGAGATCGAAAATTTTACGACCATAGAGTTTTCCTAATGCATACTGCATCGTTCAATAACAGTTTGGTAAATAATAATATGAGGAATCGCAGGATAACAACTTTGTCGTCTTATGATACTCGTGATACAAAATATCGAAATAAAAATAAAGTATATGGCCCAGTCTTGTTAAAAAAAGGTCGAAACATTTTTCGCATATTTCTGAAAAAACAATAATTTATGGTCACAATTTGATTATTTGTTCAAGTTTTTTTCCTTATATTTTACACGAACAATATTTATATCATTTTTTATATCAAGAATATCTTTGTTTTCCCGTTTTTTAAATTAAAATTGATAAATAATTTTTTTAATTTTATGAAAAAAGGCAGCAAATATTTGATTTCACGCAAACAAATCCTATGTATCTCTTGATACGTATTTCGACCTAATAGGTCTCGTCAGAAGAGCTATTCATAGGGGTTCTCAACGTGAAAAATCAATATTTTCTGCCTTTTAAGAAGCACCAATAACATGGCTTCAATACGGACGCAATAGCGACATCTAATTACAAAAATCGTAAAATAGTTTCGAAACACAATTCAGATTTCTGCTTTATAATCTGAGCCTTCTAAAAATTGCAAGGCAAACAGACGTTGATAAAAGATGTTAAAAGAGACATGGGGAATCTAAAATTTGTATTCCACGACATGTCTTTTACAACTAAGCAGAAATCCTTAGCGAATTGTGCTTCTAGTACTTACACAGAGTAAATCCGAATAAAATGAGAAAAGGCAGCAAATATTTGATTTCACGCAAACAAATCCTATGTATCTCTTGATACGTATTTCGACCTAATAGGTCTCGTCAGAAGAGCTATTCATAGGGGTTCTCAACGTGAAAAATCATGAATATTTTCTGCCTTTTAAGAAGCAACAGTAACATGGCTTCAATACAGACGCAATAGGGACATCTAATTACAAAAATCGTAAAATAGTTTCGAAACACAATTCAGATTTCTGCTTTATAATCTGAGCCTATTAAAAATTGCAAGGCAAACAGACGTTGATAAAAGATGTTAAAAGAGACATGGGGAATCTAAAATTTGCATTCCACGACATATCTTTTACAACTAAGCAGAAATCCTTAGCGAATTGTGCATCTAGTACTCACACAGAGTAAATCCGAATAAAATGAGAAAAGGCAGCAAATATTTGATTTCATGCAAACAAATCCTATGTATCTCTTGATACGTATTTCGACCTAATAGGTCTCGTCAGAAGAGCTATTCATAGGGGTTCTCAACGTAAAAAATCAATATTTTCTGCCTTTTAACAAGCAACAATAACATGGCTTCAATACGGACGCAATAGCGACATCTAATTACAAAAATCGTAAAATAGTTTCGAAACACAATTCAGATTTCTGCTTTATAATCAGAAGCAGAAATCTGAATTGTGTTTCGAAACTATTTTACGATTTTTTTAATTTTATTTATTAACAAAATAATATATTATTAATACATCTAAACATCGAGGAATTACCGTCTTTTAAATTTGTGTGAAATTTTCACCCGATGGGTTAAATGGTTTAATAGTTATTTAATTTATTTATCCCTGAGGTTAAACAATTAAACTTGCCCTAATAATAATAGTAGACACATTTAGCAAATTCCCTAAGATTCTTTAAGACTGATCGTATCTTAGAAGTTAAATGCATATTGCGTTTTCAACTAAACTATTTAAAAAATAATCGTTTGAAAAAGGGGTATGTTTTTTACTTTTAAACAATTATAATAACTTCTATATATTTCAAGCTACGGACTTGTACGTACAACCATTGGATAGCGTGTTAAAAAAACTCACATTAAAAAAAAAACTTTCTATGACCAATAGGAACAAAGTTAAGGAATATTTTGACGAAATTTTGGAGCGTGGCAGCTGCTACTCATCTCGCCTTTTTTACGCTTACTAAGATATATTACCGGTTTTCTATTATATAGATGACTTTTCTCCTATTAACATAAAGACATATAAAATGTAAGGACACGAGGACGGTATACTCTCTGATCTTTGGAGATTTTTAGATCTAAAAACATAACTAAATGTGTTTACCGTCCTCGTACTCTACATATACCTATACACATATATTAACATATAAATCGTCAAACTAGTAAATAAATATAATTAATATAAGGAATATAATAATATAATGAGTAAAAAATTACCTGAAATTTTTACCCTGACGGGTGATAATTATGTATATTATATTATTGTTAATCAATGTTATTACTGCGACAGACTATTACAGCTAAATTAAAAAAAAGTAAGTAAGTTTACGGTGAATTTCAAATGGACTCAATTTTTCCGAGGTTTCCCATATTTTCTGGCCAGTAAAAACTATGTAGTTATTTCGACGAGCTATCCCAGATTAAAAAAAGAGGCTTCTAGCTGCAATGGAACCGAGATAATGTACATGTTTCCTACGTGTTTCAATTTGAGTTATACCCTCCACTTTCCTATGTCGGTCTTTCAAAAGTCCCTTCGTTTTGAAGGGCTGTAAGTTTCGAAAAAGTTTATGAATTTTATAGCTATAAAATTTAGTATAAAGTTTTAGTTTAAAATTTGTGCAATTTTACTTCTTAACGTTTATAAACAATGGAGATATAATTTTTTATAAAATAATCACTAACTTCGTTCCTATTGGTCAGTTAACTTTTGTTTTTAAAGTGAGTTTTTTTACCAGACATTCAACGGTTATACGTACAAGTCTGTAGCATAAAAAATGAAGAAGTTATTACAATTGTTTATAAGTAAAAAATCATACCTCTTTTTCAAACGTTTATTTTGTAAATAATTTCGATGAAAACTCAATATGCATTTAACTTCTGAGATAGTTTATAACCATTATATTGCCATATAGATAACCAACAGACTTACGGAATCGTAAATTTTAATAAAGGAATAAGTAATTTTGTAAAGCATGCTGAATGAAGAAATATAAAAAAATACAAAAAAGAGAAACACAGTAATTGTTGTTTAGGAAGATCATGCACTTACCTCACATTCAAGCAGTTTCTTGACCAAAGGATTAATGTAAATAATTTTGTCATACTCTTCTTGTGGCATTATATATTTTTCTTCTTCTTCTTCTGTATATTCTAAATATTTTTCAGTCGGTACACATAACTGTTCATCTGGACTTCTAAATACGTGTCCCTTTTGAATGGTAAGACCGGATTCAGGATCAGGAGTATCGTCCCAATACAAAAATGTTGGAATCTTAACTTTAGGTATTTTAATCTAAAAAATAAACGTGAAAACTATGAAAATAATTTTGGGATATGTACGTAATAAACAATATAAAATATGATCTCGTCAGAATATCAGTTAGGACATTCTATGTGAGTCACCGTGTCTGAATAATTTTATCAAATTTTCGACCAGAATATTTTTTTAGAAACCATCTATTTTATACCGTCTTGAAAGTATCCGAAATTTTATAGTTTTCCTAATTTTAATAATTTCCTGTTTGTAACATTTTAAGACAAAAGTAATGCATCAACTAGGTTCTTCCGATAGTAGCTTATGGACAAAATCGTCTGTCACCATCTGTCAGATATTGTTGTTTGTAAACAGACTAAAGATTTGTAAAATAATGTTGCAAGTAGAAAAAAGAAAAGAGAGAGGAAAATGGTAGAACATTTGTATATAAAAATTTGTATCATCTATACAATAGAAAAGTTGTAGAACATGTGTATAGAAAGGGTCTCAGAAACGTTACAAAAATAGTACAATTGACTGAACACAAAAGAAGTGCAGTTTATGACACAATAAAGAGGATAACAAATGGCATAGATATGAGACATAGACCAGTTTCGGGTAGACCGAGTAAGATTTTTGAAAACAATTTAAATGTTTTAGTGGCTTTAGGTCGACAAAATCCGCGCCTAGGTTTTCGAAAATTAGCGAACATATTTGAAACTCAACGAAGAATATAAGTGTACCCAGAACTGTTCGCATGTCACTGAAAAAGCAAGGCTACATATCAAGAAAAAAAATCCCTACAATGAAACATCTGCAAAGGCAATGGAAAATAGATTTTTGTCAACGTTTTCGAGAAGATAAATTTAATAATGTCATTATATCTGATAAAAGTTGTTTCCAACTTGGTGTAAATCATCTAAAAGTCCTATCAAGAAAAAATGTTACCGTTCAAATTTCCAATTTTCCCACTAAAATAATCTATAATTATAATATAACGATATATATATATATATATTTATATATATATATATATATATATATATATATATATATATATATATATATATATATATATATATATATATATAATATTACGATAATATCCAGTAGTGATCTATAGAGGAGTATCGCCAAAACGCTAGACATTATTTCTTGCCGTATTGCTTCTCCATAGGTCGATCAGACACCAGCATATTCTGGTCTAATCAGCAGATTCAGTTAGAATTTTTAACTACAACGTTAGCCTTTTTGTTTTTCTGTCCCAAACTAGCGATCGAATCATCAACAGTGTAGCCCGCTTGGCTGTGTGACCGACTATATATCTGCCTATCTCTTATTTGTAATGAACTTAAGTTGACAAATAATATGACAAAGGATCATGCATTGCCGACGTCTCGAATGCCGTTACAACGAAAGTAGGATAAATATGGATAACAGCTTCTATTCCAACGTTATCTTATAAGCGTATTCAAGATATGATTAAAGACTTAATATATGATATGATATAAGATATGATTAAAGATTGATACAGATTATCAAAATCTTAATTGATACCCAAAAACTCAGCAAGAATCTAATTCATACAAAGAAAAGATTTGCCAGTTTCGAAAGGAGTGTGAAAAGTTATTTGATATCGCGGCTTGCAAGTGCAACATGACTGGAACTGTGTGTGTACTTGTGATAAAATCAAGAAAGTACCACAAAATGAGCGAATCTTTTTCAAGATCAACGATCCTGTAGAAAAATGACAATTGGACCAGTAAATATTGCAGCATCTGCTGCAATATGAAAGAAAATGGAAAGAACCATAAAGGGAAAGGCAAGTTCTCAAAAATATAATACTGACGATATTGTTCTTGTTCCATTGATTCCTCTAATCGTTCCATAAATAGCAGCTTGTCTGACTTAAATTGTTCTAATGCAGATGATCATGAAGAACTCATTGCTACTTCGTTAACAGTTACAGTCCAATATCTACGTCACAAATGCGGATTTGCTTGCCAAGTTTAGCTTCGGCGTACCATAGAACTGGGATCTCCGATCGCTCTGCTGCAATTATAACACCATCGGTCTTGAAGGATAGGGTGGTTATAACTATGACTGACACATCGAAAGAAATTGATATAATGAAAATAAGGAGACGGCGTGCATCTCATAGACGTTATCTATAGAAACAGAAGTATATTTTTTGATGGGCGTAAAGACAAGCCTATCTTGCCACAAAAAAGGAATACGTTTTAGCGACGAGCAGTTACAGAAGAACATGTAACAATTATTGAAGAACCAGGCTCTCGATATATAGGGCACGTATCTTCTTTATCAGGATCGACTGCAAACATCGTAAATAGCATACAGACATTTATCCTGAAAAATAATATGGATATGTCAAAGTTAAGTATGGAAATAAGGATATGTCGTACGGTAGTGAACACCAGCCCTCAAGTAGGAGTTATAAGAAAACTGTAAGAATGCTGCGGCACCTCACTTGAATGGCTAGTATGCTTAATTCATAGCAATGAACTACCTCTACGTCATATAATCCAAGAGTTAGATAAACGCATCAGTGGAACACTTGGTTTTTCAGGACCGATAGGGAAACTTCTGAAACGCTGTGAAGCGAAGGTTGTCGTCGATTTAGTCGCAATAGAAAACAACCTACCAATAATATTGGAAAGAACAGACCTTAGTACTGATCAGAAGTACTTGAACAAATCAGTTAAGCAGTTGTTGAGGAAAAATGTCCTAATGATTTAAGCCTTAAAATATCTGCCAAAATATCACTCGCAAGATGGCTGACAGTTGCTAATCAGTTGCTTCGATTGTATAAATATCATAGTAAGTTTCATTCAAAAGGTGTATGTATCAGTTTGGTTTTACATAAAACTGTATTCTAGCTGTTCTAATGGTTCAAAACATTTATGGCGAATGATTTAATATTCACGATTTCTACCAGTTGACCAAAGAAAAATTGTTGATGCCGTTGTCCAATTAAATACTTATTTTGCCCATCCCAAAAATCTATTACTCGGTGTAAAGAAAGATAAATGAAAACATTTACTAAAGTTAGGACTACGTACGTGGAGTGCTGAAAGCTAGACAAAGCCAGAAAAAAAAAAGATCCAGAGATTAAAAATACATTAAACATTAAATTTTAGTGCTGCAGATTATATTGACTTAATTTTTATTTCTGAATGCAGTGTTGCAGCTCCTTTGCTAAAACATATTTTCAATGAAGATCTAAGGAATATGATTTATTATGGGAATCATAACAACATAGAGGTCTTAAACTGCCCCTGTCATACCTAATCCGTGGAAAGAATAAATTAGTAACTCAAACATCAGCTGCTGTTTGTGGACCAGAATCAAGGGATTACTTTATTCGTTGAAGGTGTCAATCAACAATATTATGCGGTTTTTTAATGAAAAATCAGACTACCAATCATAAAACGTATATTATATCATAAAACAAGCATTTAGATTCAAGGAACTGATAAAAAAATAAATTTTTAAAATTAACTTTGTTTTGGTTATTCCCAAAGTTTTAATTTAACATGGAACCTGAAGATAAGGTCTGATACAAAAAAGATTTCTTACTGTTTTATTTTACATCAAAACGCAACTTTTTCGCACTAGAGTCATACAAATATTGACTTCGAATTTTTCGTTCCACCCTAATGGTAGATGAGGAAGAAGATTGAAATACCATTGACAGAAAAAAAACGTCGTCTCTAATATAAAATATTTTAAATACAGGACATACAGTAAACCTGAACAAAACGACGATACTAGGTAACATTGAAATTAAAAGAAAACGTGAAATCTGAGAAGCAGTATAACTTGGAAAAAAATATTGGCAATCTAAACCAAGACCCTAAACCAAGAGACCATACTTAAAAACTTTTAACAACATAAAAAATGGCCAGGCAATAAGACCGACAAGCAATTTTTATTTTATGATTAATGACTAAAAAGTTAGTTTAAATTATTCAGGCTTACCTTAGATCTACGTTCAGCAATTAGTTTGTTGCAAATAGCATCTATTAGCATTACAGGATGATCAGCCATCTCTGGGGGAGCTTGACTTAAAGGAATCGTTCCGTTCAATACAAGATTTTTGACTCTTTCCAGTTCTTCCGCCTACAAAAGTGCATAGTCTCTACTTACTATATTTATTGGTATATTATAGTCCGACAGAAAAAAATATACTTTAAAAAACGTCAAAACATTAATATTAAAGATAATCGTAGTAAAAGAAATATAGTATGCATCAGTCAAATTGCTCAGTTATGGTAGAAAGAGAACTGATTCATTATAGGACTTAACTGTAGTTATTTATGCTAGTTTTTAAAGTATTTAGCTAATAAATCAATTGAACCGGATATTTATATAAATACCAGGTCAATAAAAATCATATTAGATAATGCAGCTATAATTAGCAGGATCCAAGAAGGCCTACAGTAAGTATGCGAATGGCCAAGAAAAGAAGATGAACAAAATATACGGATCCTTAGACACATTAAATGAAGTAAATTATAGTTTAAAAAATTGGAAAAAGACGAAGAAGAAGAAAAAGAATTGAAATAGGAAGAACACGAAGAAGAAAAACAAAATTGTGTCACACGATTACAAATATATAAACACAACAACAAAAATAATATGTATAATGAATATTTTTACCAAAAAAATGCCAAATAGAAAGGATACCAGGAATATTTAAAGATTTTCAAAAAAGTCAAAAGTCACTATTCATATGGCAAAGCCTAAGCATATTTTTATAATATTACAAACATTTTGTACAAAACTGTAAGAAAAAAATTATTACCTCCCTGGTTTTAATCCGTTTATCCATTTTGTCAGCATAGTCTTCGAGGATGCGTATTTGTAGCCTAGTCATATACTCCCTATCGGTCAGGCTACAAATGTTAGTGCCCATGAGCTTTTCCAGTCTTAATCGTATCAAAGGATGGGCAAAACTGTAAAGAAAAAAGCTTAGGTTAATGAAATTAAAGAATTCTTTTTACCATTTTTGACTCGTTCACGCTTGAAAATGTATTAAGATTTTTATCTACGCTCTTTTCGAGAGTCATGAGACCTTATCGTAAAGAGTGGCACCACCTCATATACAATCATGATAGTTAACCCTTAACTACCATGGCCAAAAATAGTAACATTTGTACCATGGCAGGGTCAAATTTGACCCCCCCCCCCCATTGTTTTTTTGTATCAAGCAATATTCTTTTTTTACCTTGTTTTATTTTAAATTATTTTGTTTACAGCTACTTTTACATTTATATAAAAATAAACGAATTTGATTAATTAGATATACTTAACTTTATTTAAAAAAAAAACTTTTGTATTCAGTCAAATTAACATAGCTATGCACTTTCTCGAATTATAAGAAAAATAATAACAATGTGCAGTTTTTTTATATCCAATGGTAAAATCTATCAATATCATAGGTCCTACCTAAAATAAAAAAAAATCGATTTAGATTTCATATGCCAAAAGTGACAAGCATGATTTTACCTTAATTTTCAACACAGCTTATGCATCACGTCTGAATGCGTGAATGATTTTTGCAAATAAAATCTCAAAATTTATCGCACGATGAGCTTTCTTTCTTTTGGTTTTTGGAATATGGACATATTTTACACTGGCTCTGGATTTGCGACAGGCATTGGTTCCTGAAGTCCGGAAACTTTAAAAATGGCACTACGAATTTCTCTCGGTAAACAAGTTTGCTGAGCTCTACGAGTTAAATGGGCCTTAATAAGTTCTTGACCTAAAGTGGTTAGAAACAATCTCCTTTCCATTATTTGATTTTGCTGAACTCCATTAAAAATTAGGTTATCATTTAATCCTGCAATGTCCAAAATGCGAAACCATATTACTTGAGGCCATCTACGAGTTCTTCTGCTAGTTTTATAGCATGCACATTTCTTATCCAATGAATCCACCCCACCTTTTGTCTCGTTGTAAAAATTTATAATATCTGGCTTTCCATTAACCATTGTATTGGAATGATGCATAGTTGACACTAACAACACTGCAAGATTTTTCTTAGGAAACAAAAGATACAAGGCTTTCGCTTCCTGTGAAACCAAATAAGGCAGAATTAGTTGGCCTTTTTTGTGGTTGAAATTCAGCAGGAACCTCTTTTTTATTTCTTTTTGGAGTTCCAACATATGCAATTTTATGGCTTCTCAGTTTTTTTATGAGCTCAATGGACGAAAACCAATTATCTGCTGTTATGTTTCTATTTGTACCAGAAATTGGTGGAATAAGTGTCAAAACATCTAAAGTGGGGATAAATAACTTTTTTGGATTTGCTCTGCGTGTATCTTTTCCAGTATATATAAAACCATTTAACAAATGATGTGTCTTAGAGTCTACTAAACACTGCATTTTCAGACCGTATTTGTGTGGCTTATTTTTGAGATACATTCTGAATTGGCACCTTCCTCTAAATGCAATAAGCATTTCATCTATTGCGAGATATTTACCACAGCTATAATTGGACTGGCAATTAATTATAAACATATGAAAAATATTGGATATAGCTGCCAGTTTATCTCCGTGTGCAATACGTTCTTGTCTAGTAGCTGGGTCGTCAAAACAAAGGCTTCCAAGCAAACAATAAAATCGGTTTAGTGACATGGTTGCTCGAAATATATCACGGCCAGTATCATTCGTAGCAAATAAAGACCTTAAATCTTCATTATTGGATTTAAATACCCCAGCTAATATATAAAGCCTAAGAAGGCCTTTAATTTAATTATGTCAAGATGATTGCTATATTTACACGACAAATTGTATAAATTATATTTAGAAGCCATATTAGTTATTCGTTCATTGGTTTTCTCAAAAATTTCTTGCAATATATCGTGGCTAATAATATATTCCCAAGCATCACCTGGTTTCTCTGGCATACTAGCTCGAGCTTTTCCAATAACACGAGGTAAATGAATAATTAAATTATGCTTACGTGTACGAAAAAAGGTGGGAGAAATTTTAGACCACTTGTACCTATTTTTGCCATAAAACACATCCCTTGAGTCAGCTATATCACTTTCTTCACCCGAATATTCACTACCAGTTTCGGAATTATTAATTTGCCAATTTTTTTCGTCATCATCGTCCCATTCCTCTTCAATGTCTGTTTCGTGATCACTGTGTTCACTAGTCTGGTCTAAAAACTCACTGTCACTATCTAGTCCATTGTCTATAACTTTTTTGGTCCCTCCTCTTAAAGTTCTTTCTGTGTCAGAGGATGTTTATTGCGACTACACCCCGCCATTTCAAATTATTCGTTAATTGCACTAGAAACACCTATACCATAAGCGGGTCAAAATTGACCCTATGCGTGCCTAACTCTGCAGTAGTAACAGATAAACTAACGGAATTTTCGTAGATCGATAAATCACCTACCGGTCGAAGATTAGCAGAAAGCGCGCAATGCTCAATCTATGTTTCGGTAGCGAAACTTGGCATTAAAAATTTTGACCCCGCCATGGTACTTAAGGGTTAATACTATGTACGGAGAGCACAACCATCAAGTAAAGTTCAGTAGTCTGTCAACTCTGAGTATTATGTAATATCCAGTTTGTATTAGCATCCTATCTCAGTCATCTGAAACTGTGTTTTTACAGGCTATATTTTCGAAGATTATTCAAAATCGGAAAAAGAAGTGTATTTATTAAGTAAAATAAATACAATATTGTCTTCTTTCCTGCTTATTGTAGTTATTGTTTTAATTGTAAAAAATATTTTCTATGTATTAACATTTACAAACCACCATAAGAGAAGATTTGAGAATACCATACATAAAAATATTATCAGGAAATCGTTGGAGAATATGAAATAAATTATATATTTAAAAGCATTTAAGGTAACAAACATACAATAAGAACAAAGTATTTATATTACCTTGTAAACGCAAAAACTTTTATTTAGGTGAAAGATTAGGACCATTAAATATTAGAATAAGTAAATATCAATGGTGTACCAAAATAGACAATTTGACACATCTCAGATTTATATAAACACGCATGAGAAAACAAACATAGAACTACGTTAAGTGACTGTTGTACGACTGTGACTACTATTGTGCCTACTAAAAAAACAATCGGTAAAAAGAGAAAAGTTCAAGAGTGGGGCTTTCTGTCTCAAAACTCGAATTTGCATTGCAAATTCCTTGATAAAATATAGTACAATCTGGTAACCAATAATGAAAGAAAAAAATTATAAAAAGGAAAATGCTACTACAAGCACTAACATTTATATATTGGAACAAGCAGTTATTTTGCCAACAAAATACCAATTTATTGAAATTCGTTTATGTTATTTTTTTTTTAATTGTAAATATGAAATTAACAACATTTTTCAGAAAATATGGAATTATTTTTACAGTTTAATTATGTAATTTTTGTTGATTACTATTTAATTAGTTGTTTGATATCCAAAACATGCTGACAACTAAATGTTGGAACAAGAGGATTTTAACATATTAAAATAAATATTAGTAATTTCTAACATCACCCTTGGATTGAAAACAGCCTGAACTCTATTAGGGATTGTACGTACTAGCTAGGCCTTAACAGAAATCAGGGGTGAAACGATCTCATATTTATTGTAATTTAGCACGTATTTGTGTCAAAGAACGCTGATGGTTATTTCTTAGGCGTTGTTTCATTTTGTGTCAAAGTACCTCTATTGAATAGAGGTATTCGGGCTGCTAATGTCATGTTATCCCAACCATATTTGGTAGATTTAACTGTATAGCAGGAGGCTTCGAATGGATGTAACTATGCCGCACTTGGTAGAGGCCAATATTCAAGGATATATTGATATTTAGCTGCGTTTACTATGGCCTCAATAAAATGTAATGTTCCCAACTCTTTTGCCGACATACAACCCCACCATGATGCCCTGTGGAAACATTACAGTTCTCTAGAGAAAATCCTTATGGAATGCTTCTCGAATTACACTTTTTGCCGAATCACACGCTTTCGATAATCTCCCACACAGATATCAAATTTGCTTTCGTCGCTATAGATATCTTTGTTCCAGTTATGTTTGGTCCACGACATTTTTGATTTGGCTCAAATGTAACTATTCCTTTTTTGAGTTTCCGTCAGCAATGGTTGTTTTTGGGCCTATCCAAATAAATAAAAAAACAGAAAATTTATATTGCAAACAAGAACCTATCAAACATACTTTATAAAACCTAAGACCGCCCTTGTGGATATATTTGCAACAGGATCCTCTGGAAACATCCATCCCAGTTTTTCCATTCCTTCTAACGGTTACTTCTCGTAGTGTATTTCTTCTTCCCGGCTAACATATTTGAATTAAATTCACTCCTTTAAGAAACAGCTTTTGGGGGCCCTGAGCCTTTTTTGTAAACATCAATACTGGCAGTTTAACCATATTTATTAATTATAATAAACACCCTAGTTGTTGCTACAGTCAATTTACTGGAAATTTCTAGCACTGTTTTTCCTTCATGGTACTGTTGAATAATAATTTCTTGAACTTTTGGATCAGTAGGCTTTCCACGTTCCATTATTATATTTTAATCGTAATAAAACTGACAGTTTTCTTTATTCATACTCAAATAAGTCATCTTTGTGTCAGGCTGATAAAATTTAAGAAACGTGAGGAAAAGCAAAAAAGTTCCAACATTTAGTTGTCAGCAGATTTCGATTATTAAACAATTAATTACATAGTATTCAATATAAAATATATAATTAAGCCTCAAAAATATTTTTATACATCATAAAAAAAGTTGTTAATTTCATATTTATAATTTAAAAACCAATAAATAAAAGAATTTCGGTAAATTGGCATTATAGTCACAAATTCACAATCTCGAAAAAAGATTATGTTGGTTTTCTGATAAGATACATATAAAATTAAAGTCTGATGTTAATATTGAAAGAAGACCAAATATGCGACCAAGTACTTTTGGAGA